GGGGGGGGGGAATAATTTTTAATGAATATTTTCCTTGGCACCAAACACTCGAGCTACGCCTCTGCTAGTGGCGTAGAAAAGGAGGGGGTGATGGGGTGGTCCGCCTAGGTGCCACTTTTCCCTTGATATGGAGGGGAGACATTTTCGGACAACTGGAGAGTTTGTTTCGTGAAAGAGAGCGCGGTAAACATCTTGACTCGCCAAGGGTGGCACTAAGTCTGTTAGCTAAGCCACCAGGCAGTGTATCTATTGGGATCATATTTGGCTATAAGGGCCATATTTATCTGGAAATAGGGCAGAAATCGAGAGCACTGATGACTTTTGAGTGGAAGGGATGTCAAAGGAGCTCCCCCCCCCCCCCCCGAATTTTTTTTTTTTTTTTTAAAAGGAGCCCCCCCCCCCCCCGGAAATTTTTTGATTTTTTAAAAATCACGAGATACATTTTGGTATTACCAGACTTCCTTGTTTTAATTAGATTATTAGATCGGAGGAAGGACATTTTCAAGCGCCCAGGAGAGACAGAGAGCATTACGGCACCCAGGGCCATACATGAACTTAATTCACTCTGCTTGGGGCGCACCCCAGTGTAATCATTTGTCAACATTTTAGATTCAATCCCGTACTGCAACATAGATCGACGTGAGGGAAGGGGGTGAGCACAACTTGAGGAAAAGTGAGGGCAGTGGTCCCTTTAGAAAATTTTTGATAAATTCAAAATGCAGGGTTGGACTTTGACACATATTTGAATTCGGTGTTTCTTTCAGACAGTTAGGAAGGGGGCATTTCTGACTTTTGGGTGGGAAATGCCAAAATAGCCATAATGATGATCATGAATATCTCTAACACCACCCAGCCGATCATTAACTTAATTCATTTCCGTTGTGGCGCCCTTGGGAGCATGCCTTTTGCCCTAGCTTAGTATCGCCCCTTAAAACTTAAAAATCACCCAATTTTTTTATTTTTTTTTTTGGGGGGGGGATGAATTCAAAAAGCAAGAATGCATTTTAGCACATACCTTAATTTAGTTTTGCATCATTCTACATTTACTGGGAGAGCAACGGGAAGGATGCTAGTTAAAAAATTAGGTTTCACTACTTGACCTCATATTTGATAGAGTATGTTGTCATCGACAACGAGTATATGTGCCAAGTTTCAGCTCGAAGGGTTGACGGGAAGTGGGTCAATTAGCTGTCCGAAGATTTTCGCCACACACCCGGTCAGAAAGAAACAAACGAACAAAAGAGAAGTAGATATAAAGGATTTAAAAAGAGGAAAGCCGTTGAGAATTTAAGAAATCAAGGCTAATTATTTAAATCTCTGTTATTTGGAAATAGTGTTACAAAAGTAGCACATTTAAAGAAAACGCAAACGCTTTCGAATAAATAATAATTGATGAAACGCGCACTATTTATACGCCCCTGTTAAACCTTAATTTTTGTAAAACAAACTTATCTTTTTTTTTCTTTTTTTTTCTTTTTTTTTTTTTTAAATTTACATTTTAAATAGTTCAACATAAATGGAATCCATGACATTAAAAATTATGCTTATTTAATACTATATTGTTTAAAATTTTTTTTCTTTTTTTTTCTTTTTTTTTTTTTTAAATTTACATTTTAAATAGTTCAACATAAATGGAATCGATGACATTAAAAATTATGCTTATTTAATACTATATTGTTTAAAGCATGATACCATCGTGCAATTTATAATTAACACCTATCCCTAAAGTCGTGCTTTCAAAATGAAATTTAAATTGAAAACAGATTACCCATGTTTGATTCTTAGCACAACTAGACCTATTTTAAAAGTATAAGCATAGGCCTTTCTCTTGATGAATGTACGGATCATCTGTTATTAAATGGGTTCCACTAAATTATTGTAATTGGTTAAGGACACTATCTAGTTGCTATTCAAACTATTCTTTTTAAAAAGGTTATAAAAATGACAATGAAGTCGTTTTTTTTATTTAAAAAAACAACATATTATTATTATCGTTTTATTGTTGCACACATTTTTCTCCGCGGGGGCATTTGAAGGTCTCGGGTTTGGGGGGGGGGGGGGGCAATGGCTGAAAGAAGCACTTCTTGGGGGCCATAAACTAAACCTGAGTGATCTCCTGTCTTGACACCTTTTTAAGCATTCTCATAGTACAAATTGTCCCATATTGGATAGATTAGTACGGAAACTGATCAATTATATGAATTATAATTATATGTGATGTTTTTAATAACAGACATTTGAACTGGAAAAAAAAATGCTAAGAAAATATTTGTACTTTTATTAAATAAATAATGAATTAATAATAAGCTGTTCAATTTGATCATGTGATTTGTTTGCCCTTTTTCAGTAGGTTACATATTTAACGTACCGGAATCAGCAAAAGTTTTTTTTTAGTTATCTAACAACTAAAATTGAACATGATTATTATTTTGCCAAATTAGCATTCCTACTTTTATACTTAATAATTTATTATTCCATTTTTGTTAGCAAATTTATTAGAGAGCTCCAAATCTTTCATGGCTGTTGTTAACTTTGTTACATTAATGTAAGTGCTACAATTAAGTAGTCTTTTTATTTTCTAATTAAAATGTACATGTAGCGTTCGGAAAGTAATAGTTCTCAACAGAGTAATAAGACATAGCCAAAATTTCCGTTCACTCTTTCGTTTTAACTTCATTTAATCTTACCAGGCTAAGTTTAGTTTAATTTTTAGTCTTTACTAAACTAACAATAACAACTGACAACTGGCAACTAGGACTCTTGACCCATGATACTGTGATAACTGTGTCAGCAGTGTCGTCTTTTTAGATCATCCTCAGTTTTGGACTTGTCACACACTCATTTATATCCACAGTAGTGGTATCTTTTGAGACAAGTTTCATTTAACTTTATTCAAATTCAAGTAAATGACATTGACATTAGGCAGGCATTAGGTCATTAGTCATTAGGTTAAAAATTTTAGTTAGTAGTAAATGTCTAGTGTCTAGTCTAAGTTATTAATAATAAATAATAAAAATATGTCTACCCTTACTTAGATTACCTAGTGGCCTAGTGTCTAGTCCTTGTGTAACCTAGATTAGGAGGTTAGTTAGGATGGGGACTTATTGAGCTTGACTGAAACTGAAATATCCGAAGTCAGCGAACATATTTGACTTTGTTATAAGTTAAACTATTATTATTGACTTAAAATATCATTAGTAATTAGAAAATCTCATTAAATTTGAAGTGTATAAAGTAATAAAGTATTAATAAGCATTTCTGAGTGTAGCTTAGGCTAATTAATGCCTCACCTTAGTCTTAGTGTAATATAGTTAAAATTAAAACATTATTAAATTCAGGATTGAACAGAACTCATTAAATGACATGATTTTGAGGAGACAGTAAGGAGACATAGCAGATATTTTTTCTTCAGTTTTATCATTGTTAATAAGTTGTTTTAGTCATTGTTGACACAAATGTATTTATTCTAATCAAAAATGATAAATTCATGTAAGAAATTGGTAAGAAATGATGCTGAAACTTGAACTTTTATCTAGCCTACAATTAAATTTACATTTAAAAAAAAATGATCCCAACTTTAAATGATTTCCATGCAGTGAAAAAAGAATTGTCTTTTGTAGTAATGTTAATGTTATGCTTGTTATTTGGGTAAACAAAACTAGCTGTTGCACTTTTGCTGTTATCTTAAAGATTTAAGATATTAAATATAAGCTAAATATGTAAACTGACAGCTGTTAGAATGCTACATTTTAATATTAATAGCATGAAATATCCTTACATTCTGCCCCCCTACAATGTTGCTTAAACCTGATCAATCAATGCATTTGAAAGAAATCCTCCAGTTTCGAATAGACAATGCCTTAACCTATTTATTTTGGATCCTAATTTAACAGGCTGAGATAACAGCACTTGATATGATGTCATGTGGCACACGCAGGAGGAATTTTATTAAATAATGTCCATGTCGCTTCCATTTGAATTTATTGGTGGATGAAAGGATGAGACTTAGATTTAGGTAATTTACAGAGATCAAATTATTTCTTCTCAGGGGTCGTTCGTAAATTACGTCACGTTAAATGACCTTTTAAGCCCTCCCCCTGTCACAAAGTGTCACAAATTCTTTATCTCCCCCCCCCCCGTGTCACGTCACACCTAAAAAATCAAAACATACATAACATTTTCATAACTAAACTTAAGATTTTATTTTTTTAAATTTTCCAATAATGGATTAAGATGTACTATTATTATAAAACTGTGGTGCGAAACATCGAAGTCATCCACAAGCCGAATGTAAAATGGCCACAACAGTTTTTGCGTCATTTTTCGATATGCTCAAAAGGTGTTAACGATTGAGTTTCATAGTACCTATAATACCTGAGGCAATTTCAACCTCAAATTAATGTTTTTAAAATAAATTAAATAAAGATTTTTTTCAAAATTAGAAAATTCTAGATTTAAAAAAAAAAAAACTCATGACTTCACAAATTTTTGATGTTTAGGAAACTGCTTTAAGAAGCAAGATATTTATAAATTTTTTAAATTATCATCAGTTATTAGGGGATGATAATTTAAAAAATTTATAAATATCTTGCTTCTTAAAGCAGTTTCCTAAACATTAAAAATTAGACTTACCATCAATGTTCCCTCTAAGGTTTGTTGGTTCATGTGCAAAATCATAACTTTGTGTGCACATTTTTAGAGCATCAATTTTTTTGTGCTCAAATTTTACAGCCTACAGACACAAACACGCCCTTAAATGGAAATTAGCTGCGCGGTACTCAAAACTGCTGCGTGGCGTCTGTGAGTTTACTGCGCGGCCACGCAGCCGTGCAGCTTAAAGGGAACATTGCTTACCATTATCTTGTTTTGTTATTCAAGGAGTCATTTTTATTATCAGAAAAGTGACATATCAGATTATGTGTTGTGTAGATCAGGATATCATTTCCCATCTATTTTTCTTAGTGTTATTTTGAAGGCAAATTTCCTTTATATAAAGCATTTATTTTTAACTTTGTTAATTTACAGAGGAAGATGCCCGCTTGTGCTTCGTGACTATATAATTAAATGTTTGACCATTCTACTTGTAAGTATAGCTATGTGGTCAATGTCTGATGCCTATTGTTTTCAACTGTAAATGAAGATCACTAGACAGAATATTCAATGATTTTTTTAAAACAAGTTGAAATATATTCAAAATTCATAATTTGCTCACTCCTTGCTTTTCTTACAATTTTGTTGGAGTAAACACTTGCATATTTCTACAAATAAATTTTTAAGGAAGTAACCTAGAAAACTGGAAATAATTTATTTGAAATTGTATAATGGAGGATTGAAAGGCTCATGATAGTTTTCAATGTCTAAAGCAGATTTTTAATCTGAAACCAATTTTTTTTTTTCACTGTCTTCAATAACTGTTGCAGAAAGAAATATTTAACAAATGGCTGAATTTTTATGTAATGAAAAATTCGAAATTTACTAATTTCATAGCTTCTTTGATATTAAGTTTAAACAATGCCCCCTTTCAGGTTGGTGTGAAGCTATGTCAGCGTCACATCTACGGCCTAGTGTGTGTAGTGGTCATCATAACTTTTGTCTGGTGGAATATAGGAGATGGAACAGGCTGTGCCGGAACTCAGATAGTAGAAAATGTGGTAAGTAGCAGATCAAGGAAGAATCAAGGTATAAATTGATGTTTTATTACTAAAATATTAGGTAAATTGGGGAATAATTCCTAGTGCAATTATTGCTTTATCTTATATTAAAAATAAAAAACTTTTTGATGTAGCCAGGCAAAACTACATTTCTATAGTGGCATGCAAAAAGAACAGCAATGGCTAGGGTTATTAAAGATTTTTGCTCAATTTTACTTACTACCATACTTGAATTATTCATTTTAAATATTAATTTTTTCCCTTCAAAATATAAATGCTTGATCATCAAGCGCATATTTGCCTTTAAGTACATGGGCTCTGCCACTTCTGCATATTTTGAGCTGTATGAATTTTATTTGTAATTTTTTTTGTATTTGATTCCTGAAACGATTTTTTAAAATGTCACCCTAGCACTGCAATGATTTTTTCAGTGCCTGGCATACCAGAAAAAGGAAGTGTCAGGTGACCTTTGTGATTCCTTATGTAACAGCAATGAGATTGAAATTGGCTCATGTATTAATAATGCAGATGGTTTGAAGGTAATCTAGTCAAACATTGTTGTTGGTTTAATTATATTTAATTACAAAAATGTAACAGAAATTAAAAGTTGTAGTTACAATAGCCAAACAATCAAGATCACTTGTTGTTGTTGTTTTGAGAAAAGTTATGATGATAAGAGCTGATACCAATATGGGCTAATAAGTTGTATTGGGCTCTTTGTTTTTTTAGTTTTTTGGCTAATTATGTTCGTAAATTTTAGAACACAGATTTATAATAATCGTGCCATAACTGGTATAAAACTACTATATTGAAGCTCTCAATACAATTTGCTCAGTTTATACAAGTGAGGCCCTCTTAGCACAAATAAATGCTCCCGAGTCAGTTCTCATGTAGCCTCATGCATGAGAATGATCACGGGTGTTTGCCAACTTTTGATGGCAGGCTGAAAAAAGACAAGATAACCAAGCTGACTTCCCCCATGTTCCATCTGACCCCAAGTAATCTGGCCTGTCCATGTGCATATCTCCTAAAGTACAGCGCCCCAAGTAGGGGGCTCCATTACTCCACAGTAATGAACAGTGTTTCATGTTGGAGACCTTACCGTACAATCTTATGAAGTTAAAAGAATATGTCTTATCCAAAGTTTTTTTTGGTGTAATTATCTTCTAGTACATTAGCATCTCATCAATTCATGTTTGTGTTTCTTCCCCCCCCCAGATCTTCCAGAGTGCAAACATTGTCTTCACTGTTCAGAGTGAGACCATCAGGAGCTGGGAGCAGGACAAGATTGAGGAGGGTACTCTACTCAGAAGGTTTATTCATCATATTGAGGAGTTCCTGAAGAGTGAGCTGGGAAACGTGGACACGTCAACACTTATAAACAAGATCATTGAGGAGTTTGATTTAAACAGGGATGGCAAAGTCAGTTGATTTGGTGTTTTTGTTGGAAAAACACTTTTGCTTGCTGTTCTTTTAGCAATTTACAAATAGAAATCAGTGATTAGTTTAATTTAAACTCAAATTTAATAATAAACATTATAGACAATTAATATAAAGACTATTACATCAAATCTACTTTGGTTCTTGTTTTATTTTTTTTTAATTTTTTTTTTTCATCCTATAAGAATTTTTAAATAGTTGATGATTTTTAAGGAAATAATGCATTTGATTTTTAAAAAAAAGTTTTTTAAAATTTTCTTTCTCTTATAAATTCCACCTTTCTGATTGAGATTAACAAGTTAGAAGACCAAGAACATTTTAAAACAAAAAAAAAGTGTTCTCCTACTGTTTTATTTTTTTTAAATTTTTTTTTTTTCATCCTATAAGAATTTTTAAATAGTTGATGATTTTTAAGGAAATAATGCATTTGATTTTTAAAAAAAAGTTTTTTTAAATTTTCTTTCTCTTATAAATTCCACCTTTCTGATTGAGATTAACAAGTTAGAAGACCAAGAACATTTTAAAACAAAAAAAAAAGTGTTCTCCTACTTTCTTTGATAACTTTCAATACTTTGCTTTTCCAGATAAACTTAGGAGAAGCTCAGAGTATGTGGAGACTCATAAAACTTCCATATTTTCTGGTCTTTTACAACTTCCAGGTCAGTTTTTATTTGCAAAAGAAAATATTGAGAATAAAGATTTTGTCTAAATAATAGGGTTTGAGGACATAAAGATGTTTAAAGATCCATTTGTTAAAATTTTACAAACAATAATCACAACTGCTCGTAAAAAGCTTTTTCTATTGTGGTGCTTCCCCCATTATTTCTGGGATAGATCGATTATATTGACATATTGTATTTTGCCACTGTGCTGTAATTAACGAAACAAATGCCTTTATTTTACAGAACTTTTTATTTCATTTTTCCAGGGGCATTCAGCAGTTCCTCATCTCAATGGTACGTGTGGTGGTATCAGTGTATGGCACAGACCCCAAATGACTCTTGGCACCATCCTGTACAGACGAGCGACACCGTGGCCTATTAGCCTCTTCACGAGCAATGCCTACCGCTGGACATTGCCCAACTGGTATAGAAGGGCCAAGGTCATGCTCAGCTTGCTGGAGTTTGTGGAAGACATAAATGAGAAGGATGGTGTCAGGTAAGGAAAATTTTACATGGGGCATCAACTGGGCTACAGGAATTGTGCAGGAAATATCATTTACACAAATATCTCTACATTTTTGGTACAATATATGCTCTCATATCTGTTCCCCTAAATAATAGAGTTGTTTGAAAATATTTTTTGATTAAGTAATATTCAACTGACATTTCAAACTCCCCAGATATTATCTATGCAATGCCAATGGCATGACCTTGTCTCGGCTCCCAAATTATGAAATTGTTATCTCGGAGGAAACCATGCTGCTGTCTAGTCACCAGGTCATCAAGAAACTCTCCAATGTCACCTGCTACCATTCAGATGACTGTGTTCTAACCCCGCAGTGCAAAACCACCTGCGATGTCAGTAACAACCAGTGCACCGGCACTCTGGTGCGGCCCACAGCTGCCCATATCTGTGATATCATGGAAGACTACCTGCTGTTTGATGCCCCTAGGTTGCTGAAGCCGACACTGACTCGGCTGATCCACAGGTGCCAAGCCATGAACTTGCGCTCACCAAAGCTGGACCTGCTGCACTCGGTGGTCATCATTGACATCAAAAGTGTTTTGTGGAATACCCTGCAGTATCTGCAGAAATGAAACGTCATCCAGTCTGAACAAATGGGAAAAGATCCTGGTTAAAATGTTGACTTGCCAGAAACTCATACCAGCGAATGTTTTTTAACGGTTTGGGAACATTAATTAATAAACAAGCAAACATTTTTTTTAATATCTTAATATATTTAGTAAAAAGATGTGTTAGGAGCATATCTGTTGAGAAATATTATCAGTCATAGCCACTTGCGCTTGTTGAATTAAAAGCAATGTTGAAATAGTATGTAATTACATTTGCACATTCGTGGCATCTGCCTTATTCAGATCAAAGTTTCAACATCCTAAGCTGTGTTTCCAATTTAACGGATTCATCATACAGCAGCATGGGCCTTTGAGAAACAAAGTTTGCCACCTATATATATTATATACCTTTTCTGTACCTCCTGGAGACAGACCCATAATCATTTCTCAGTAGGGTTTACGCTCTATAGTGATGATTGTAGCGAAGATCTCAATTTACCATTTGTTTTTATTTAGGTTATTTCTGCAAAATGTCAGCAGTCCTTCCTAACAGTATTTGAGACAAAAGACATCTGGCTTGTAATTCTGTAAAAAAAAAAAATACAGATCAGATGATATATGTGTTGAGTGTATTGAAAGAGAAAAAAAAAAAGTAGGCAAAAATGAATAGAAATAAGTTAATTTGCATTGGTGGGGTGTATAAATAAATAGTCAATGACAGACTTGTTGGCAGCTGTGAGAACTTTCAGCCTATGCAATATTACTTCTACTTTATGATTTGTCAGTTGATTCAATGGGCACAAACACGATATACACCTAAAATCAAGGTACAATTCTTTTTTTCATAAATAACTTCATTAACCTGGCCAGTAGAAGATGCTGATTAAGAGTATAAAATGATGTTTCTTAGAAGAAAAAAATTATGTGCTTTTCATATAGTCATTTATTTTAGTAGCATTTCATTACAATATGAACAAGCAATAGTTAAAAAAAAAACTGATTTGCCTTCTATAATCAGAGACAGTGATTTGAGCACTTCAAATTTTTGGGCTGCATATCTGTTAGCTTATTTTAGAGAAAGAAAATTTGATGATATTTGATAAATTTCTTCAGTGAAAGAATTTTAAAATCCTAATCCATTATTTAGAATTTTAAATTCATCAAATGTTATCAAAAATAATTTTAAGGTGAATTTAAGGTCATAATTTATAGCGAAAGATGAAAAAGGATGTTATGAAATCAGGTGCAATTTATATTTGTGCTAACATTTGTTTAACTACTTACTTGCGATAGGAGAGAGCCTTTATAAACATTACCAATAATTCAATGCCAAAATTCTGCAAAAGCATTAGCTAAAACAAAACTAAGTGTGTCATTGAACTATGACAACCTGTAACATTGCTTTAGTCTCAGGACTTGATTTTTATCCAATGTGGAGCTGCAGTATTCTCTGATAAGAGTTTTTACTTGTAAATACATATTCATATGTGATCTTTGAAATTCTTTGATTTATGATGGTGTCAGCATTCTTTAATTAAGCACAAAGTAAACTTGTGGTGCCCAATGGTTAGAATTCATTTGCAAAAATAAAATCACCTGGAGGCCTAGCAGTTAAAAAAGTATTAACAAAATGAAATGCCTTAAAAAGAAATAAAACCTGTCAAAACTTGATCTGCCCATAAAAAAATTAATGAAAATAATCTTTTTTTTTTTAATTGCATGTTTTCAGGAATTACATTGGTTACTGGTTAAATACCTTAAATGATTAGACTCCTTACCTTCCAAACATTCTTGAATTGTAGAACTTGCAACATCAGGATGTTGGGGGGTGGATGGGGGGGGGGTTTGGGGGAGAAGGGGGGGATATATAATATGAGATATTACTGTTACCAAATAATTGAAATTAAAAAAAAAACACGACTCTGAAGTCTTCTCATGACATCTTTCAATTATTACACTATTGTGAAATGGTTTTGAATGTTACTGGATTTTGTTTTATTTTGTTAAGTAAAGATTTTTATCAATTCTATTTATTGATAATTCTCCCTGAATTTAATTTGGTTTGTTGCTCCTGTCTTACATTGTTGATTTTGATTTGGATTCCATATTATAAGTTTATTTACCACCTTGTGATTACTTTGTTTGAAAATGATGTAAATCAACTAACATTTTCATTTTTTACATTTAAAAAAAAATCATGTTAATTATTTAATATATTTTTTTATGACGCCTATCCAGAATTAGTATTAATACGGTGAAGCAAATTTCAAGTTAAAGAATGCGCCAATGACTAAAGCTCATATTCTAAGGTATTAATAATTAAATCAAGTGTTGTAGAGTTTGAAAGGTTTAATATAAACTGATATAATATAATTCACAAGAAAGTATCACTAGCTTAATTGAAATTGTCACCTGATACAGTAAAACTTACATATCATAGAATTATATATGCTTCTTAATGTACTCATCATCATCAATGGCACTTCTTAATGTACTCAGATGTTCATATTTTTTAAAGTTCATTTTATTAACTTTAAATGAATTATATTATTATGTTAACATGAATTTTGTATTAATGTCTCACATTATACGTTGATTTTTTTGTTATTCAGATTTCTAGTCTCCATATAATTTAGAATCACATTATTTTAATTATGTAATTAAAATATTGAATGTTTAAGTTGATAGAAGTGCTTACAATGCCATACAAGTTATAATAAAGGAGGCGTTGTTTTTGTAAATGAAATCTAATTTTTAGCATTGGCATTATTCTAGTTGTATTTAGATATGGTAATTATAATAAAAAATAAAACAACCTGTTCTTCATATTGTAATGCGACATTGTAATTAATTTTAAGTTTTGTATTGCCAGTAATATTAAGAGTTTAGACTAGCTTTTGACACTTTATTTGATTTACAAGGCATTGATCACTACCCATTTCTATTAACAATCCAAATTGTTTTTTTTTAAACTGCTAAGCCTGACTTACATTATATTATTTTTTTCAAGTTTAAAAAAAATTTTTTTTGAACTTCACAGACTTACACTAACATACTAACATATTTTTTAAACTGCAAGGACTTGCACTTAACTTAGGCTTGATATTATTTATTAGTGGCTAAACCTGTGTAGCCACAATGCTTACACTTACACCCTATTATTACAATGTTTTATTGTTTATGTTGAAAATATTGTTACTCTTTATTACATTCCTTCCTTTTCAGATATTAGTTTTTAAAAAAGGGTCATGTTTCAAACATGGGGTGGATCTATAATCTCTTTGCCCAAGGGAGGGTGGGGTTTATTATAATATTAATGGATTTGTCCAAAAGGTGGAGGCCCTTGATAGTTAAAGCCTATAGTTTAAAGCTATCTAAATATTATAAAAAGGCTAAACACACGGTTTGGGGGGGTGAGGGTTGGAATAGGGTTTGATCACCAGTTACCATCACCTCCACACACACAGATCCCCGTGTATATTTATCAACAGCTTAACTACAAATCCAATGACCTAGTTACATCAAGCGGGTCTCATAAGACAGCTACCGTATTATTTAATATTCAATAAATATATATTTTTTTTCAATCAGTTATTACTTTTGAATAGTCAATTCATTTTAAAATACAGTTTTTAAAAAGATAATTGTTGTCTCTTGCAGGTATATGCTCGACACTGTTCTTGCAGGTTTAATTTTGTATACAGAAATGGTTCCTAACCTGTGCTCCACACTCCTCAGGGGCTCTGGGCCTCTCCCTTCCCCTGTAACACTACACCTAAACACCATTAACTTGTATGACTTAAAGGGCCCCCCTATAGAATTTGATTTATAAAGGGCTTAGCAGGTCAAATAGTTTGAGAACCACTGCTACAAAGTCATCCAGGCCATATGTCATCTTTAATGCATTTCCTTGTAAGTTGTTTGTGGCATCACTTATTTTCTTAATTTTTTTTTTCAAATTTGATTTGAAATTAATATTTTTAATCTAAACAAATAAAAATAAAAGCTATTAATTTCAGAAATACAAGAAAGCTTTAACTATCTCATCTGGTATTGTTTGATTGGTATTATCTTTCACATTTTTTGTTGTTGTTTTATTGAAAGATATATTTTTTTTTTTTAGAATGAAAAAAAAACCAGTCTCCCCAACGCTTCAATTTCCTCAATGCCACCTCTAAATATATTACATTGTTTTATAAAAAAGTTCTCTCTTTATTGGACTCTTTAATCCACCCCCCCCCCCCCCCCCCNCCCCCCCCGGGCCGCATGTGATAAGATAATGAAATGGGAATTGCTAATGTTTTTGTTAAAACTGTGTACATTTGAAGCTTCATGGTATTGATCATTTCCTGTGCAATTTTTAGATTTTTATTTTGAACTTTTATTTTCAAACAAACTTTAAAAAAAAAAATCACTTCTTATTTTTTTTTGCCTTGGGTGATTCCAAGATGTATCAACTCATATTTTTGCACAAAAGACTCATCAAATTTGTACAGTTAGGAGTATGGAAAAGTCATCACAAGTTCAGGTGTTATTGTTGTATTCTGTCCCATTAAACAAGAATATGAATATCTACCTCATGGCAACCTTGCACAGAGCCCTGCAGATTAGTTTCATATAATTTATGTTGGTGGGTAGCGAGAAACATATAAGAATCAGGAAGTTATTATGTTAAATGTTTCATATATGCTGTTTTATTATGTTGAATTTTTGTGTTGGGTAACAAATTTTCTATTTAGATGGGTTTGTTAAACTCAATGTGTGAAAAGATAAATAACAGTTGGGAGCCTTATTTCCACGAAAAACTGAGAACTGTACTCAAATCATAAATGGAGCGCTTTTAGAAGTATTTTGGTATTTCTAATTGTTACAACACAAGTATCAACAGGATGGAAATGGCTGAGTAGAATTTATTATGGGAAGGTTCCAATGAAGCCAAAAAGTTCAAGAAACTACACTACATGAAGAGCATATGAATTTGCTGGTACCAAAACTTGTATTTTGTATTTAGTTTTGACAATGGGTGTTTGTTTTATTCTCATTTATGCAAATGAAAATCCGTGGCTGTGGGAAGAATGTGACATGGCCGGGGGGGGGGGGGGGGGGGGGGGAGATTGTGTCTTTTTGAAGAATGTGACTCAATATAGCAAAGATGCACTTATAAGTGGGAAATAAGTTGATAACAATTTGTTTTACTCAAAGCCCTGAACTTTTGACTCTGTGGAATATATGTATATTTAAATGTGGTTGAGCATTTTACAATAAAATCCATGGAAAATTTTTTAAAATTTAATATCCTAAACTTTGATCAATTATGTCACAATATCAGACTGCATTTATGACATGTGTATCCTTTAGTTAGTTGGGGAATTTCTAGAATCACCTTCTACACAACATCTAGTCTCATCAGAAAAAGCATTTTTCATCTTCAAGTTTCATTGAATGCGTTTCTATCAATTAAATGCAGTTTTCTTGTGTTTTTCTTATCCTCAATGCTTCCCATCTTGTGCATAAAAATGTCTCTTTGTATATTATTGTATTTAATTGTTATTGAATTGTCATTTTGGTCACTTAAGCTTTGTAAGTTTATTTAGATAGTGCTAAGCCATTCTATTTTTTAAATTCATCCGGGTTAGGATCGCACTGTCAGCTTCAAAAAGAACACCATCTACTGATTTATTTATAATATTTGTTTCTTTAAATGTTCATTTCAAATAAGCATGGTTTTCGATTTAAAAGTTATTTTTAAACTTTCATTGTTGTTTGATTTTGAGGGTTTTTGGCTTCAAATAATATCAATATAGGTTACTTTATAAATTTGGAGCTCTTTGTTAATTAATTGCTAGAGTTTTTCATGCATTTCAAAAAAGCATATTTTTATCCTACTTTCGCAATAAATATTTTATTTTTTAAAATATTACAATTTAAACTACAACTATTAACGTCACTTTGGAGATGGTGTCGGTGGGTCGTCGAGTTTGCACTCATAATACCCCCCCCCCCCCCGCAGTCCCCCACACGGGCCAGAGCCAAAGCTCCAGACCGTGCTGAAGCGCGCCAGGAACCTCCCTCCTGGTCCGAGGGACGCCCTGTCGACCGAAGACGCTGCGTTTAAAGCGTCCGAGGTCCACTCTCCTATTGGGTCTGGACGGCTTTACTTCCTCTCCGGGGAGAGGCGTTGCATTACCTCACCCCACCGCCCAGGGAGCTGTTCGGTCGGGACGTAGTGGGGACGAAACGGTCACCTAGGGGCGGCTTTCTCAGGGCCGCGTCTTTCTAATCATTGGTAAGGGTTTGAAGGGTTTGGGCGGCCACCCATTGCCTCATACCCATCAACGGCAACAGTAATCATGTTAGTGCGGGCCTTCCGTTGCGTTGGAAGGTCATGCGAGCTTCTGCATTTTTTAGCTTCGGGGAGTTACCCCCCCTACTAGTCGTCCACGCCACGAAGACTCAAAATCCCATGTGGCCTAGAGACGTTCGTCCACATCACCGCAAACTACAACTAAAATGTTTGAATTGTCTACATGAGCTTTCCTTCTACTTTTGTTATAGTTTCACGGGGGTTTATTTTTAAATATTGAGCCTATTAGGAACATGGGTCTTTGGGCCTTGAAAATAAAATATGAGAGGAAGTTATAAACAGACTGACGTTATTATTGCAGGTTAAAATATTTTGGTTATGGAAGTTATAATTTCTGCTGTCAAGTCTATAGACTGAACAGAGTGTAAGATGTGTTCATTGCTAACCAGACTTGAGAATTTATCAATTTTAACACATTCAATTGGTTACAATGTACAGGAATGTTTTA